AGTCTAGTCTATAGTCTAGTCTATAGTCTAGTCTATAGTCTAGTCTATAGTCTAGTCTATAGTCTAGTCTATAGTCTAGTCTATAGTCTAGTCTATAGTCTAGTCTATAGTCTAGTCTATAGTCTAGTCTATAGTCTAGTCTATAGTCTAGTCTATAGTCTAGTCTATAGTCTAGTCTATAGTCTAGTCTATAGTCTAGTCTATAGTCTAGTCTATAGTCTAGTCTAGTCTAGTCTATAGTCTAGTCTGTAGTCTAGTATAGTCTAGTCTATAGTCTAGTCTATAGTCTAGTCTATAGTCTAGTCTATAGTCTAGTCTATAGTCTAGTCTATAGTCTAGTCTATAGTCTAGTCTATAGTCTAGTCTATAGTCTAGTCTATAGTCTAGTCTATAGTCTAGTCTATAGTCTAGTCTATAGTCTAGTATCTAGTCTAGTCTATAGTCTAGTCTATAGTCTAGTCTATAGTCTAGTCTGTAGTCTAGTCTATAGTCTAGTCTATAGTCTAGTCTATAGTCTAGTCTATAGTCTAGTCTATAGTCTAGTCTATAGTCTAGTCTATAGTCTAGTCTATAGTCTAGTCTATAGTCTAGTATAGTCTAGTCTATAGTCTAGTCTATAGTCTAGTCTATAGTCTAGTCTATAGTCTAGTCTATAGTCTAGTCTATAGTCTAGTCTATAGTCTAGTCTATAGTCTAGTCTATAGTCTAGTCTATAGTCTAGTCTATAGTCTAGTCTATAGTCTAGTCTATAGTCTAGTCTATAGTCTAGTCTATAGTCTAGTCTATAGTCTAGTCTATGGTCTAGTCTATAGTCTAGTCTATAGTCTAGTCTATAGTCTAGTCTATAGTCTAGTCTATAGTCTAGTCTATAGTGTCTAGTCTAGTATAGTCTAGTCTATAGTCTAGTCTGGTAGTCTAGTCTGTAGTCTAGTCTATAGTCTAGTCTGTAGTCTATAGTCAGGTCCATAGTCTGGTCTATTGCCTTGTCTGTAGCATATTCAGTTGCCGATTTTTTTGAAAATGTTAATTATATTTAAGCTTTTCCTTTCCACTGCTCCTAAAAGTTGGCTGTCAATTATAATATTTGTAATTGTAGCAGAAAATGGCATTTTCATGTATGTATTGGCATATTTATTTATGCATGTATATGTATACATTATTATATATTGTATATTAAATAAATTTTATTGAATATTGGCCTACAGGAAGTTGAATTATGTAGAACAATAATAAATATTAAAATACAAAAAATAATAATAATAATGTATTGATTTATTTTACTTAAATGGAGAGCATGAAAATTGTAATGTACAATAATAAAGCAAATTTAGTTTGTATATATTTTAAAATAACCCAGCAAAAATTTTTAAAATTAAGACAAAAGAAAAAACCTTAAAGTGTTGAAGCAATATATTTGGTGTTGTAATTTCCAAAAAATTCTTTTGGCAAATATGTTTTCCTAAAGAAATATTTCTCTTGTTATTTAAACAAATTCTTCAATGATTAATTGTTTAAAATTTTATATAAAAATAATTTTTCTTGAAATTTTTTTATTTACTAAAAAAAAAAAACATTCCAAACAATACCTGTACTTTGATTCAACCTTTGTGTGGAGAAAATATTCAAGTACTTTTGGACAAGTGGACCAGCTAGACATGTTTAAGTGTTTTTGTTATGCCAGTCATTGTACATACTAGTTTTTCAGGAGTTTTACAATGGAATATACAACAAAAATGCAATAACTACAGTCAGTTGGTCTGAATTGTTACTTGTTGATTATTGAAAAAGAAAATTTCCAGTAGACAAGCAATAGAAACTTGTTTGATTAGAAAAAGAGTTCAGAGAAAAAACACATACACAAAAGAGTTGGTTAAAGTTAAAGGTACTTGTAATGCAAGCAGTTGAAAGAGTTATTTGAGGTTTTGAAACCTGAAATCATCATGTTCAAGAGGTAAATAAATTTTGAATAAACGAGAAAAAGCTGTTTTCCATAAAACGGTTTATTTAAAAAAATCATAAAATTCGTCGAATAGAACTATTTCCATAGAAAAACGTACTTTTTGTTACATTAAAATTTTCTAATAAATCATTTAAAAATATGTGATTGAACCCTAATGTAAAACTTTTTTTCTTCTAAACACAATTAAATTTTAATTGACACAAATTGCTTTCAATTCTTCAATTAAATTTAAGTAAAAAATTTGTAAAAAGAGAAAAAATCAACAGAAAATAAATGAAATTTGAAGTGTGTAAAATATTTCTTGTCTATGGCAAAAAAAAAATGTCTAAATAACAAACATATTCAACAAAAACAATTTGTACATATATTGTTTTCTATTTTTTCTATCTTTTGACATGCAATTTTTTATAAATTTCTAACATATTTCAAACAAACATACATACACTCAAACATACCCAAAACATACCTGTAATTTAGCATACTTTAAGGTATACAATAGAAACATACTACGGCAGTAACAATGGAGAAAAAAAAGAATTCAAACTTACACAGAAAAAACTGAAAAACGATTTCAATTACCAAAACCTCGTTTTCAATTATTTTATTTTTTGAAGTTCAACCTATAACAAAAATTGTATATTCAATTACTACTTATAATTGATTTCGTATACAAAATTTTTATTTTTTTCTATTTTTGTTGTTGTTAAATACGTATTTGATTATACATTTTTATGAATCAAATACAAAATGAATTGAACCCTTTTAAAATTTTTGATTATTCGTTTAATTGAAAATTTTTTTAAATTAATTTTTTCTGTGTAACCATAAAAATGAAAATAAATTACCATAAAATTAGAAAATTTTTGGAAAAAAAATACATTTAACTCACAAAAAACTACGAGTAAATGTTTAGTTAAATATATTTTGCTATTGTTTGTGTAGATTAAAATTTTGTAATTAAAATTGTTATTCTTTTTAAAAGTTAAGTGTTGTAACATTAAAATATTGCAGCAATATTTGCTTATTTGTTTTTTAAGTTTTACAAACTTACATATGAGGATTTAAAATAGGTCATACCTGAAAGAAAAAACAAAATAAAATAAATTAATTTAAAAGCAACATAATATTTTTTTGAAATGAATATAAATGATCAAAATTATTTAAATGCCTAAAGTACTGAACTGAAGAAGTGCTAAACTAGAACTGAATTAGAACTGAACTAGAACTAGAACTGACCTAGAACTAAACTAGAACTGAACTAGAACGAACTAGAACTGAACTAGAACTGAACTAGAACTGAACTAGAACTGAACTAGAACTGAACTAGAACGAACTAGAACTGAACTAAACTGAACTAGAACTGAACTAGAACTGAACTAGAAACTGACTAGAACTGAACTAGAACTGAACTAGAATGAATAGAACTGAACAGAACTGAACTAAAACTGAACTAGAACTGAACTAGAACTGACTAGAACTGAACTAGACTGAACTAGACTTAACTAGCACTGAAACTAAACTGAACTAGAAACTGAACTAGAACTGAACTAGAACTGAACTAGAACTGAACTAGAACTGAACTAGAACTGAACTAGAACTGAACTAGAACTGAACTAGAACGAACTAGAACTGAACTAGAACTGAACTAGAACTGAACTAGAACTGAACTAGAACTGAACTAGAACTGAACTAGAACGAACTAGAACTGAACTAGAACTGAACTAGAACTGAACTAGAACGGAACTAGAACTGAACTAGAACTGAACTAGAACTGAACTAGAACCTGACTAGAACTGAACTAGAACTGAACTAGAACTGAACTAGAAATGAACTAGAACTGAACTAGAACTGAACTAGAACTGAACTAGAACTGAACTAGAACTGAACTAGACTGAACTAGAACTGAACTAGAACTGAACTAGAACTGAACTAGAACTGAACTAGAACTGAACTAGAACTGAACTAGAACTGAACTAGAACTGAACTAGAACTGAACTAGAACTGAACTAGAACTGAACTAGAACTGAACTAGAACTGAACTAGAACTGAACTAGAACTGAACTAGAACTGAACTAGAACTGAACTAACTGAACTATAACTGATCTAAAAATAAATCTAACAGAATGAAAAAATTGGCTTAAGTTAAAATCTGTTGGCTTTCATAATTTTTTAGCTTTTAATATAAAACTCATTTAAATTAAACAAATATTTGAACAATTTCACGTCTTTTCATATTAAAGAATTTCTAAAACAAACAACTTTAATAAGTTCTTCTCATGAATTTTTCTCAATTTGTATAAAAATTCTAAAAAAACACAAACATGAAAAAGCGATCAACTTCAGACGTTATACATATGTCAAGACAACAGTATTAGAAATATACACACACACTCCCATACTTGTAACAAACATGATGCAACATAACAACCACCAATATAACTTAAGTGCATAATGTTGCACGGTAAGAACAGGTTCACTTTTTTATATAATTTTTTTGCTGCTTAAGAAGAGCAGCAGCAACATCTTTGTCGTCGTCATCACCATCATCATCTTCGTCATTTGAAAAGTACTTGATGTTGCAGTTGTACAGTGCTTAAATCTTTCTTAAGTATCTTGACAAACACACATATACACACACTTACAAGTGACTGCCGAGTGTTAAGAGTTGAAGAGCCGCATGAAGGTACAAATATTAAGACGGGAATGGGAAAAAATGAAGCAAGAAAAAAAGACCAAAGGCGGTTTATAAGTTAAGATAGAAACAAAGTCAAGTGTGGCAAGAAGAGCAAAAAAAGAGGAAGATACAAACTAAATCAACAATCCATACAGCAAGAAACAAACAACTCTTTCAAGATTACAACCAACGAAAAAAAAACTCTAAGAGGAAATATACAAAAGCTGGAAAAAAAAACTTAAAAATAAAGGAAAACGAAACAGAGATTCAATTGAAGACCATAAAATGCTTGTTGATTTGTTGTAAAGCAAATAAACTTAAAAATTTATAAAGAAATAAAAAACATCTAAGAAAAAGCCAACAACTATGACTAAGAAACTAAGTAAGTGCTGCTTGAAATTGAGTAGAAGTAAAGAAATCAAATAAACTTTAAGTTATTTTATAAAAAAGAAAAAAAAAAAACAGCCTGAACTAGAAAAACAAAATACATACTTAAAAATAAATAAATAAAAATCTAATAAGAATAAATAACAACAATATGAACAATATCACTTTTGCTAGAAAATGAAAGCCATTTTCTGTTTTATATATTGATAAATATAAACAATTATTGTTTTATTTAGAAAGAAATCAATACATTTTTAATTAAATATAAGATTTTGCACATTTTAAGCAAACATACACTAGAGCGTATGAGACATACAATTTATTTTTGTTGCAAATAATATTAATCATACGCCCAGTATTGTTATAATATTTTCCTGGATTTATTTATTTGCTACGGCAAATACGCGGAAGCAATTGGTTCATTTTTAATGAAATTTAACCATCAAATAAAAATATTGCAGTAGAGAATATTTTTTTATTAGAAAATAAATATAATATTAATATAATGCTGCGCAAAATATATAAAAATAAATGTTTTCCTTAATAATTTTCATATTATTGGTAAAAGACCATAAACTAGTCAGTTCTAGTTCAGTTCTAGTTCAGTTCTAGTTCAGTTCTAGTTCAGTTCTAGTTCAGTTCTAGTTCAGTTCTAGTTCAGTTCTAGTTCAGTTCTAGTTCAGTTCCAGTTCAGTTCTAGTTCAGTTCTAGTTCAGTTCTAGTTCAGTTCTAGTTCAGTTCTAGTTCAGTTCTAGTTCAGTTCTAGTTCAGTTCTAGTTCAGTTCTAGTTCAGTTCTAATAGTTCAGTTTCAGTTCTAGTTCAGTTCTAGTTCAGTTCTAGTTCAGTTCTAGTTCAGTTCTAGTTCAGTTCTAGTTCAGTTCTAGTTCAGTTCTAGTTCAGTTCTAGTTCAGTTCTAGTTCAGTTCTAGTTCAGTTCTAGTTCAGTTCTAGTTCAGTTCTAGTTCAGTTCTAGTTCAGTTCTAGTTCAGTTCTAGTCAGTTCTAGTTCAGTTCTAGTTCAGTTCTAGTTCAGTTCTAGTTCAGTTCTAGTTCAGTTCTAGTTCAGTTCTAGTTCAGTTCTAGTTCAGTTTCTAGTTCAGTTCTAGTTCAGTTTAGTTCGTTCTAGTTCAGTTCTAGTTCAGTTCTAGTTCAGTTCTAGTTCAGTTCTAGTTCAGTTCTAGTTCAGTTCTAGTTCAGTTCTAGTTCAGTTCTAGTTCAGTTCTAGTTCAGTTCTAGTTCAGTTCCTAGTTCAGTTCTAGTCAGTTCTAGTTCAGTGTTCTAGTCATTTCTAGTTCAGTTCTAGTTAATTCTAGTCATTCTAGTTCATTTTCTAGTTCAGTTCTAGTTCAGTTCTAGTTCAGTTCTAGTCAGTTCTAGTTCAGGTTCTAGTTCAGTTCGAGTTCAGTTCTGTTCAGTTCTCGTCAGTTTTCTAGTTTCAGTTCTAGTTCAGTTCTGTTCAGTTCTAGTTTCAGTTCTAGTTCAGTTCAGTCAGTTCTAGTTCAGTTCTAGTTCAGTTCTAGTCAGTTCTAGTTCAGTTCTAGTTCAGTTCTAGTTCAGTTCTAGTTCAGTTCTAGTTCAGTTCTAGTTCAGTTCTATTTCAGTTTGTCTAGTTCAGTTCTAGTTCAGTTCTAGTTCAGTTTATTAGTTCAGTTCTAGTTCAGTTCTAGTTCAGTTCAGTTTCAGTTTCTAGTTCAGTTATAGTTCAGTTCTAGTTCATAGTCAGTTCTAGTTCAGTTTCTAGTTCAGTTCTAGTTCAGTTCATAGTCAGTTCTGTTTCTAGTTTAGTTCATAGTTCAGTTCTAGTTCAGGGACTAAAACAAAGAAAGAGATCCAATAAAAATTATTTTCAATTACCTAATCATATTACATGTTCATCATTATATACAATTCATTTTCTGTTTTTAAATTTCATTACCATCATGGGAACTCTTTAATCTAAATATCCTTCATCTGTACTTTACACAAAAATCTTATATAAAAGAAAATCATCTTAACTATCACACCAACTATTTTCCATTTTTTCAACTTTCCCCAAACTTTGTTTAACCCCATAAACTATTAACTACCGTCCCTGTAGAGGCCTACTAACCTTATTTTTAAATGGAAAGTAGTAACAAGACATAAAGAAGCCCAAAATGCTAATCAGCAAAAAAAAAACAATCATTTTGGGACCAAGTTGTTCATGTAGAGGAAGTAAACATAAAGAGCAAAATAAAAACAATGAAAGTCTTGTTGCAATGTATGTGTTTCCCAGGAACATACAAACTCTGGTTTAATAAAAACAATACTCAATTTATTTTGAAAGAAGGAAGGAGGGAAAATAGTAAAAATGTAAATAAAAACTGTAACTGAAAAACTAGCCATATTTACTTATAAACACTTCCGGTTTAGATATTTGCGATGAACAACAAACACATACAGAAATAAAAATTATAATGAAATACATACCAACAATACAGTGATACCAGTTTACTTGTTGGTACAGTATAGAGCAAAAAAGATTTTTTATGAATTTTTTAATTTATTTTTTTTTTTTTTTTTTTTTTTCAAATAAATTTGTATAATTATTTTTTTACTGTGAATTTTTAGTGAAAAAATAAAATAATGTCCGTCCTTCCGTTTGTTTGTTCAAAGTTTTTAGTTTTTATTGCCCCCTATTGTAAAAAAGCAAACAAATGCCAACCGATCAATGCCCGAAAAAAACTAATTTCAATGAAATGGTCAAGAAAAAATACAATAATATAAACAGTACATACACATACTAGTAAACACTAAAATTTACATATAAAAATACATGTGAAGAAACATAACCCACTTCCCAGCGTACTACAAAAATATAATTTTTCTGAAGAACTCGAATTTATAAATTTTAGATCATTTAAAATGATGAAAGAAAATTAATTATTACTATATTGACATCAAGTACATAGACATTTAAATCAGTAGCGGTAATTTATTACGAAGTCAAAAATCTCCTAAAAAGATCTCCGAACTGCCGGGTCTCTCATATCCATACTCGAAAACCAAAGTTAATATTAACACCAACACTTGTAAATAAACGTCAATATAGTCATTTAATAGAGGTATTGTATACATCTACATACATAGAAGTAAACAGACATACTCAAATCTGCATGTATTTTCAAGTAAAAGTATGTATGTTTGTATTTGTTATGGGTGTGTTGGTTTTGGTTTTTATTATGTATACAGGGCTTATTTAACGAGTTTTTTTTTTCTCACTTTTGTAGTTATTTTATATTGTTTTTTCTCTCGTTTTCTTGTTTTTTGGCTAAAAACTTTCACTATAGTTGTTATTTTTTACTACTATAAAATTGTACTTTTTTTGTTTGCCTGGTTCTGGGTCTTTAATAAAATGTTCCTTTTTTGTTGGCATAGTACACAATTTTTATATGAATAAAGATTTGATGTTTTTTTCGGAGGTTTGTCAAAGCCAAAGGCTAGTTTTAAGGTAAAGGTTCTCTTATGGTTACAAATAAAACTATTAAATATTCAAATCCAAATGTCTTGAATATAGAACAAAATCTGAACTAGAACTGAACTAGAACTGAACTAGAACTGAACTAGAACTGAACTAGAACTGAACTAGAACTGAAGTAGAACTGAACTAGAACTGAACTAGAACTGAACTAGAACTGAACTAGAACTGAACTAGAACTGAATTATGTTTCTTAAATTAGTGTAGAATATCTTAATTTAACAGCAACAATATATTCCTTATTTTCCCTCTACACCCATGACGTATGATTAATATTTCTTCATTTAACCACAAAATTATTTATCAATCATACGCCCAGTTACAGCTCATCACCTCTCATTTATTAAACACATTTCTTACAAAATTTAACTTTATGAAAGCATTTAAATCTAACGTTATAAAAATACTAAAGACATAAAAATATATTTATTATATACTTTAAGCATAAAAATATTTTTTTTTATTTTTTATTATTTTATTGATTAGCTAAACGCTTCATTGATTTATAGTTAAATAAGCAATCAATTGTTGGTTAAGCAGAAGGGGGCAAAAGTGATGGAAAAGGTTTAGGCAGAGAAAATTTTGTTGTTTAAGAAAAAAAAAATGTTGTTATTGTTGTATTTCTAATCTATAAACAAATAAATTACAAAATAACAGCTTAAGTCAAATAAGTGAAAGGAAAACAATAATAAAAAGGGAAATAAATAAAAATAAATGAATTACCTTTAAAGAAGAAACAAAAATAGGAAAATACATGCTTAAGTATAAACAAACTGATATATAAGTAAATAATAGGGAGGGCCTCTTTTAAAGGACATTTGAAAAGGTTTTAGAGTCTGGAAAAGTTCATTAAATATAATTTAACTTTACAAAAGCCTCCTTAATACTAACTAAAAGTCTACTTGAATATGTGTAAGAAAAAAGGTTTTTTTTCTCTAACATTTATATACAGCAAAAATAAAGGTTTTCCATCATACATACTCAACCATAAACACAGCAACAAACTGAAAGAGCAAAAACCTAGCATACACATAGGCTCAAACCGAGATGATTTAACACATAAATACAAATAAACACAAATCAAGCGTAAATAATCTAGAAAAAATAAGTAACAAACCTACCACTCTTCCCCTCAACATACAAATATAGTAACGGAGTTCAACATAGGCAAAAGTAAGAAAAAAATAGAGACCCAAACAAAAACACATACACACCCACGCATAACTAATACTAATACACCTATATGAATGGTTAAGAGTTTGCTATTTAAGCTGAATGTAATTTTACTCTTCAATATTGTATGAAAGGTAAATCAACTGGTATGTTTAGTAACTTGTTGTTGTTGCTGCTGCTGCTGTTACTTGTTATTGTTTGTATAGACATTGTAGCCTACTATTGTTGTTTTTAGATCTATACTAATGTGCTCATATGTCACTCGGTGTCAGTTTGATGGAAATTGAGAAACCAAACCATTCATTCATTCAGTCAATTCATTCATTTATTGTTGTTGTCTTTAGTATGATATAGAAGGAACGAGATGAAGCAACAACAATAGACCTAAGCTGATTATAAATATGCCAATTGTGTTCAACCAAATAGACAATACTACAGCATTAGGAAAGCACAGAAAATTAAAAAAAAAAAACAAATTCATTACACATAAAAAAAATTGAGGAAAGTTTGCTGTTTAATTAAATTTTCTAATCAAATCCATGAAGTTGGTTTAGATATGTTATTTAACCATAATTTAACGTAATTTCAGTCAATATCTGCTCACATTCATAAAAAGTTAGATTAATCTATTGGGCTTTAACTACTGCTTATTATTGCTTTTATTATAGTATAACTTTAACTCTAATAACTGCTCTAGTCAGCAGAAAAATGTGCTATCAACTATATTTATAATAATGTCCATAATCATTTATTTTCGCTTGATTTGCAATATGTGTATATTTTTATGCAGGAAAAAAGAAGAAAAAATGTTCAAGACTTTCCTGTAGAAATATAAAAAAATACTACGGTCACTACACACACTCGAATAGGGATATCAATAGAAACTGATGTATGAACCCGGCAGAGTAAAGAACTGGTATAATCTGAATGTCATATATAGCAAACATTGTCTATTTAGTTAGTTAGTTAGTTAGTTAGTTAGTTAGTTAGTTAGTTAGTTAGTTAGTTAGTTAGTTAGTTAGTTAGTTAGTTAGTTAGTTAGTTAGTTACCTAAAGCCATACTTACCATAGTAAATATAGTATAAATTTACTATAGTAAATATACCAAAAATTTACTCATAGTAAATATAACAAAAATTTACGTTACTTTTTAAAACTACCGGGGTTTTCTCAGCTTTGAGTAGCTATTTATGTCTTTTTATTGCCATTGTAAAGGTTTGACAAAGTAAGTGATTATTTTTGTTAACACATCATTGCATTTTTGTAAAAACATTAAAACTATTGGGAAAAACAGAAGCATAAAGAAAAACGTTATATAAAATGAATGAGTGTTGTAAGGGAAACATGCTTTTTAATACAAATTTGTTTCATACATTAAAAAGGAAATGTGTTTGTAGTCATATAAGTTTATAAAAATATATAGAAAAATTAGGTCAATATTTGGAAAAACCAGGGAAAGCATTGAAAAAACTTATAATGCCAAAATACGTTTCAAAAGGTAAAATAAATCTAAAAATTTTAATATTTTGGAAATCATTACTAATTTATAAAAATTTATGTTTTTAAAAATTCGATTAAATGTAAAACAAGTTTAGGTTTCTATACTAATGTGGTTTTTATTTTCTTAATTAAGTATTTGTTTTAAATTTAAAATCAAAAATTTATTTATTTTTTTTAAATTTCCTCTACAAAACTAGTTTCCACTTGCTACTTGCAATTTCCTTTTATACATTGCCTTAGTTGTCATAAAATTTTATGGTTTTTCCTTTATACTATTGCCAATAGTTTTTGTTTTTTTTTTCTAGGAATTTTATTCTTGATTTTATTCTACAGTTATTGGGAACATGCGTAGATTTTTATTGTTTTTACTAGTGTTTCATCCTTTTTCAATTTATAAAATTGGTTACAGTTAAGGGTGTGTATTAGAGGAGTAGAAGAGGCATTTCTTTTTTGATTACTGTATAGAGATGTTGACGATGATGATGATGAAGATGATAATAAGACTACAAATGTTAGACTTTTTCACATATATGGATTTAGGGACTATTTATTGTATTAAAAGTAAAGAATGCTAAACATAGTCAAAATCTATAGATTTCTTATTGAAATGTTTTTGTATCAATTCACTTAAATGAGAATTTTCCCAAATAGAAACACACACTTGAATATTTACTTGAAGCAGTGGTGGGCAAAAGCTAGGTACTTTACTTTCAAGAAGTAAATCTAAAATTTAAACTTGTGAGCTGTTCAGTTTTAAATTCTATCCTTTCTACATCTGGTATCGGCAAATATCTGAACAAAACTCAAAGTGATTGGAGGGCTCTTTTGTTACTATCTGCCAATAACTACTCTAAAAGCTCTTGTTTGCCTACCTCTGTTTTATTACAAGTGTAAGTTTGTTTTTAAAGATTTCGTAGTATGTAGTATCTTCTTGTCTTTTATAACAGTTGTTGTTGCTGCTTATGATTTGTTACTGTAAAAAATGTTATTTAAAGTATAATAAGATTATCTCTTATACAATCATCAGCAACATTGTTACTAACTAGATTGTGTAATAAGCTACAAAACAATTCAATTGTCAATAACCATTTGAACAAAAAAAGAAACAGTAACAGAGGGTTAGTAAATCGTGTAAAATGTGTGCGGAATACAAGAAAAACTTGGTTTTGCAATTTATATTCTTATGGTGAAACATGATGTAACTTGATTTCATAGTTAATTTTTTTCTTCTTTATAATTTTCACTTAAAGATATATTTCATTGTTGTAGAGTTTGCAAAGCTTAATCTAAATGGAAATGTAGTGTAAAATAGAGATTAAATCAAGAATTTACTATAGTAAATATAAAAAAAATTTACTATATAGTAAATGCAGACAAATTGACTATAGTAAATATAGCAAAAATTTACAATAGTAAATATAGCAAAAATTTACTATAGTAAATATAATAAAAATTTACTATAGTAAATATAGCAAAAATTTACTATAGTAAATATAACAAAAATTTACAATAGTAAATATAGCAAACATTTACTATAGTAAATATAGCTAATATGTAATATAGTAAATATAGCAAAAATATACCATGGTAAATATAGCAAAATTTTACAATAGTAAATATAGCAAAATTTTATAATAGTAAATATAGCAAAAATTTACTATAGTAAATACAGCAAAAATTTACTATAGAAAATATAGCAAAAATTTACTATAGAAAATATAGCAAAAATTTACAATAATAAATATAGCAAAAATTTACTATAGTAAATATAGCAAAAATTTACTATAGTAAATATAACAAAAATTTACTATAGTAAATATAACAAAAATTTACTATAGTAAATATAGCAACAATTTACTATATTAAATATAGCAACAATTTACTATAGTAAATATAGCAAAAATTTACTATAGTAAATATAGCAAAAATTTACTATAGTAAATATAGCAAAAATTTACTATAGTAAATATAGCAAAAATTTACTATAGTAAATATGGCAAAAATTTACTATAGTAAATATAGCAAAACTTTACTAGAGGAAATAAAGAAAATAATTACTTTAGTAAATATAGCAAAAATTTACTATATTCAGTCCCTTTTCTAACAAATATAATTTAACAATATTTTTCTTTAATAATTATCTTGTTTTATATTCTAAGTTAAAATTGCTATTTTAATTAGTTCCTTTTTGCAAAAGTCCTTCCCTTAGGATCAGCAAAGTCCTTATATAAAACCCCAAACAACAGGAATTTGTCTATCATTTTGCACAAGATTCACAAGACCATAAACTGTAACACAAATAAAACTTATGTTATTTGACATTTGTAGCAAATTATTGCTAACTTGACAAGAACAACAACAACAACAACAGAGATAAACTTATGTTATGCATAAAACACACCAAGGGGAATAGGAAATAATAACAGGACAATTTAAATATAAAGCAAAAAGCAACAGGATACAAACAAACAGAAAATGAAACTTATAAAATAAAACAAACAAAATTAATAAATATTTGTAAATAATATTTATATAACTTTTTTTGCCATCTAATTGCAGGTATTTCATATACACAACAACAAAATATCAAACCACTATTACACCAACAACAGCAACACCAGCCCGCCGCCAACGACGACAAAACATTAAACTCAAAATGGAAAAATCATTATGCAGCCACTCAACCACAGATCATGGCAGTGACCACAGAACATCAACATCAACGTCAGTTAGCCCAACCCGATCTAGACGAAGAAAACTATGCAGCCTACACAGATGACAATGAATTAAACTTAAATCGGGGATTTAAAGCTCATTATGATTATGCTACTGCTAGACAGCAGAGTAAATCAAATTCTCATACTAATAATTATAATGTTAATAATAATTTAAATTTAAAATTAAATAATAATGATGAAAGTGAGGAGGAGGAGGAGCAGGAAGTGGATGATGATATTGAAGAGGATGATGATGATCACAAACATAAATTGGATCATGTAAATACAGAAAAATGTGCCAAAAATTGTAAACAAAACCAAAAAATGTCCCAAGATTTAAAACTAACCACAGAAACTAATAATAAAAAATACCAGAAAAACAACAAAAATAATCATAAAAATAAACACAACAACAACTACTATACACCTATGTCTTCTGCTTCTTTAACTTACCATGATGCTAATGAGGAGGAACTTAATGAGGCTCTAAAAGATGTTACCGATGATGATGATAATGATGAGGAGGAGGAGGATGAGTCTACCACTAAAACAATTTCAACTTCTTCTTCTTCTACTACTTCAACTTCTTCATTTCTGCCCGTTACAGTTACAAATTCTAAACTGAAAAATACTCATAGTTTACAATCCCAAATGCCTTTAAAGAGTGAACGTAACGTTTATTCATACTCACATGAAAGTCCTGCCAAATTAAGCTTAAAAGCTTTAACGAAAACTAATAACAAAGAGCACCAAAGAATACATGTAGCCCACCGGCTGCAACACAAAGAAGTTAAGACGCATAGGGAAACCAATAATTACAACAAACAAAAGCATTATAGGGAAATACAAACAAAACAAAAACACAACAAAAGCTTTAATAAAAAGAAATTACAAAACAAGCGATCTCGTCGTGAGACCGAAGAAGAAATCCAAAGTATACAACCCAGCAATGAGAGTACAAAAGCTTTTGCTAACCAAGAGCTAACCACCTTACCGATAGTGCTGACAGAAAGCTCTGTGGTAACTGCTATGAGAGAAGAATCTCCTGCACTTTACCTAAATGAGACTTTAGTCAAGCATTCTTTGCCAGCTGCTAAAACTAAACGTTCTCATTCGAATGTTAGAGTACCGGTAGAGGTTCTAAATAAACCCAAGGAATCTATGGTTATTATAGATGACGGCGAGGAGTTTGAGGGTGCAGCAGAGCGCCAAAGAGAATATGCTTCGATGGGTCTTATAGGGCAAGACGATAAAAGTGAGGATTATTTACATGATGAAGAGCCTAGAGTTTTACCTTTGAGGCCGGTATTGCCTAATCCCTATGAGGATGAGGAAATGTCTGTGGTGTATGCCGAACAGCATTCCGAGATTCGTTTAATGTGTGAGGTGGATTTGGATATTGCCTCCAGTATGTGGTACAAAAATGGACAGGTGAGTGTTGAAATAGCAATTAACTTTTTGTACCATAGCAAATGTTGTAAGTTTACCATAGCAAATGTTGCTAAACTGTTAATATAAACAATTAAAGAGAAAGTATAGTGAACTTATAGTAAATATAGCACAAATCTACTATAGTAAATATAGCACAAATTTACTATAATAATTATAGCACAAATTTACTATAATAATTATAGCAAAAATTTACTATAGTAATTAAAGCAAAAATTTACTATAGTAATTAAAGCAAAAATTTACTATAGTAATTAAAGCAAAAATTTACTATAGTAATTAAAGAAAAATTTACTATAGTAAATATAGCAAAAATTTACTATAGTAAATATAGCAAAAATTTACTATAGTAAATATAGCAAAAATTTACTATAGTAAATATAGCAAAAATTTACTATAGTAAATATAGCAAAAATTTACTATAGTAAATATAGCAAAAATTTACTATAGTAAATATAGCAAAAATTTACTATAGTAAATATAGCAAAAATTTACTATAGTAAATATAGCAAAAATTTACTATAGTAAATATAGCAAAAATTTACTATAGTAAATATAGCAAAAATTTACTATAGTAAATATAGCAAAAATTTACTATAGTAAATATAGCAAAAATTTACTATAGTAAATATAGCAAAAATTTACTATTGTAAATATAGCAAAAATTTACTATAGTAAATATAGCAAAAATTTACTATAGTAAATATAGCAAAAATTTACTATAGTAAATATAGCAAAAATTTACTATAGTAAATATAGCAAAAATTTACTATAGTAAATATAGCAAAAATTTCCTAAAGTAAATATAGCAAAAAATTTTCAATGGGAAATATAGTAAAAATTTTCAATGGTAAATATAGTAAAAATTTACTATAGCACAAATTTTGTATTGTAAATGTGGAAATTACTTTAATAGCTTTAAGCTTTATCTATTCCTGTTATTTATTATTATTTTTCCATTTTAATATTATAAAAGTCCTTCTTTTTATTTGTCTCCAATAAGAAAGTATAAATTGCAGTCTAGTAAATTGTCTGTGCAAACAAGTATAGTGTTTTTTATCTTGTCTTTAGCTGTCACATTATGTAAATGAGATAATCGTTATTATTGGATAGCTAAAGGATGTCATAAATAAGCAAAGAAAGGAAGTAAGGAGAAAATATGAAAAGAATTTAATGCTCCACAGAAACAGGAAATTATATTAAACAATAAACAGAAAAGCGAATTAAGAAAAAAAGGCAAAATTTAAATTGTTATAAAATTTTAGCAGAAAACAACTTGAAAAAGTTAATACAGAAAAATAAATTTAATATTTAAAGTTTTCTTTTAATTAAAAATAAAAATCTATCTTTGATTTTTTTGCTTTTTATGAAAAAGCAACAAAACTATGTTGCCTTTTTCCTTATCAATAAAGGCAACAGCAATTTATTGTCAATTTTCTTTTTGTAACGACTTTTATTTAACTGCCACAACTGAAAGCCATCAATTTTCTTCTACCAGATCGAATGTTTTCACATAAAGTGCAATTTTAAATGACTGTAACTGACTTTTTGACAATTTTATATTTCTCATTGAGGGTGTGTTGTACTGTTGTTATCTGCTGGTAACTGACTCTCTGCTGTCTTACTTGTGGGGAGTTATAGTTGTTCTACGTACTCTACTCTTTTGTTGTAGTATTGTACAACAACCTCATAATAATTTGTTATTCCTGTATTTTTTTCTTCATTTTTCCCAAAAACTTTAACTATTTCCCTCAAAAAAAAAGTTACGAAACCAAAAAACACTGCAACAACAAAAAACAAAGTTATTGAGTTGTAATTGCACATTTTGTCGTTTACTATTTTTTACTATCTTTACAATACACAACAATCCACAAACAAACATTCATACATACATATATACCAGGAATTTTTGTCCGTCTGTCTTTCTTCTCTTTCAAACTGACATAGTTATGTAGTTAAGCTAAAAGTTTTGTTGCCTACTTTTTGGCTTTTGTACACGTGCTACAAATGCAATTAGTAGTAAAAAGAAACTTACAAGCAATTTTCAATAAAGAAAACAACAAAAAATTAAATAAAAAATGAGTAAAATTATTCTCTTCTGTTGCTTTTTTTTTTGGGCAAATTACAAGCAAACTTTTTGAATTTTGAGTTTTGTTTTTAAATAATGTTGGGGTTTTTTTTGCAACTATAAGCACGACTGATGTTATAAGATTTTTTTGCTACTCTAGTTTTTGAAAAGTAATAAAAGAAGTTGTTTTCTGAGATTTTTTATAAAAGTAAACTTTTTTACAGTATTAAAGAAAAATATTTAAAATGCAAGTTAAAATAAATGTATTGTCAATGTTGTTTTCCGTTTTTTTTTGGTCAGGTTGTTAAAATCTCCATAACTATTAAATATGTTTACCATATTTTATTGTTTTATTTGTTGTTAACTTTGGCTATAAACAATTTTAAGACAAAAAGTATGTTAAAAAACTATTCAAATTAAGAATAAAAATCAGGTTAAAACCAACATAAGAAAAATAAAGCATAGTTTTAGGCAAACAATTTCTTTGAAAATTTAAATTAAACCGGTAAACAATGTAAATTTTTACACCAAATGAACATTTGGTCTATAGTCTAGTCTATAGTCTAGTCTATAGTCTAGTCTATAGTCTAGTCTATAGTCTAGTCTATAGTCTAGTCCATAGTAGTCTATTAGTCTATAGTCTAGTCTATAGTCTAGTCTATAGTCTAGTCTATAGTCTAGTCTATAGTCTAGTCTATAGTCTAGTCTATAGTCTAGTCTATAGTCTAGTCTATAGTCTAGTCTATAGTCTAGTCTATAGTCTAGTCTATAGTCTAGTCTATAGTCTAGATAGTCTATAGTCTAGTCTATAGTCTAGTCTATAGTCTAGTCTATAGTCTAGTCTATAGTCTAGTCTATAGTCTAGTCTATAGTCTAGTCTATAGTCTAGTCTATAGTCTAGTCTATAGTCTAGTCTATAGTCTAGTCTATAGTCTAGTCTATAGTCTAGTCTATAGTCTAGTCTATAGTCTAGTCTATAGTCTAGTCTATAGTCTAGTCTATAGTCTATGTCTAGTCTATAGTCTAGTCCTAGTCTATAGTCTAGTCTATAGTCTAGTCTATAGTCTAGTCTATAGTCTAGTCTATAGTCTAGTCTATAGTCTAGTCTATAGTCTAGTCTATAGTTCTGTCTATAGTCTAGTCTATAGTCTAGTCTATAGTCTAGTCTATTAGTCTAGTCTATAGTCTAGTCTATAGTCTAGTCTATAGTCTAGTCCTATAGTCTAGTCTATAGTCTAGTCTATAGTCTAGTCTATAGTCTAGTCTAGTCTAATAGTCTAGTCTATAGTCTAGTCTATAGTCTAAGTCTATAGTCTAGTCTATAGTCGTCTCTAGTTAGTATAGTCTAGTCTATAGTCTAGTCTATAGTCTAGTCTATAGTCTAGTCTATAGTCTAGTCTATCTGTCTAGTCTATAGTCTAGTCTATAGTCTAGTCTATAGTCTAGTCTATAGTCTAGTCTATAGTCTAGTCTATAGTCTAGTCTATAGTCTAGTCTACAGTCTAGTCTATAGTCTAGTCTATAGTCTAGTCTATAGTCTAGTCTACAGTCTAGTCTATAGTCTAGTCTATAGTCTAGTCTATAGTCTAGTCTATAGTCTAGTCTATAGTCTAGTCTATAGTCTAGTCTATAGTCTAGTCTATAGTCTAGTCTATAGTCTAGTCTATAGTCTAGTCTATAGTCTAGTCTATAGTCTAGTCTATAGTCTAGTCTATAGTCTAGTCTATAGTCTAGTCTATAGACTAGACTATAGACTAGACTATAGACTAGTCTATAGACTAGTCTGTAGTCTAATCTATAGTCTAGTCTATATTCTAGTCTATAGTCAAGTCTGTAGTCTAATCTATAGTCTACTCTATAGTCTAGTCTATACTTTAGTTTATATTCTAGTCTAGCCTGTAGTTCAGTACATAGTCTAGTCCATTTATTACCTTCAGTTAAACTAAAATTTTAGCTTTAATTTACAACTAAAAATACTTTAATAAATAATGTAAATATAACAAAAGATAGCACACTTTTAGGCTATACTTTCATTTTCATATTTATTAAATTTAAACCCGAACAATGTCAACTATTATTTCAATCCATTATTATGTCAAAAGCAGTAAAAATATTTATATTTATGAGTGTTCCAATGACAATGGCTCTATTTAGGTTTTGGTTTTAAACTGTAGGCTTGATTTGTGGGCTGTCAATAAAATTTTTGTTTTTGATTACTGCTAAAGTCATTTGGACAATGAAAGATTTATGTTTAGATATTTAAACAATGCAGATTTTTTTTAATTAAATAGAACAATTTTGACAATTTATTTGAGAAAATTACTTATACATAACTTAAGAAAGAAAAACTAACCAAAAATATTAACTTAATTAAGAAAAAAATCACCAAACATAAACAAATTTAAAGTAAATATTTTGTGAAAATTAAACACGTACATTAATATTTGCTCGAAAATATATAAAATCTTTTAAATACCTCAGGGCTTTAGTAATATTTAAGCTCTTGTATGTGCTTTAATACTGTTTAAAACAATAACAATATTAAAACAACATAATAATAAATACTAAGTAATGACCACAATAATGAACCAAACCCCAAAAAATACTACAAACCCCAGAAAAATTAAGAGCAGAGAGATGGTAAAACAACCAAAAAGTTCTCTTATTTAACCATGAATATTTACTCAGGGGGAAGCTTAAAAGTATGCAACGAAAAAAAAACACTTGTTTAACATCTGCAATTCGTTTATTTTGGTTTTTTGAATTTTTATTATTTTTTCATTATTGTTATTGTTATTATTATATTTTAATACCTGCTTTTATTTTATTTATGACACTCTACACCAACATTTACACAGTGTTTTAAACACACACATTTTAACAATACAAATATTACGTGTGCTACATCTTTTACATATTTGTACATGAAAACACGTAACTATACATAATTATGAACACAATTTTATGTTGGTGTTGGTCGGGTAGTAATTGTGGTAGTATTGTGTATTATTTAAATAACAACAGGTCATTGGTGTATAATACAAATGCAACATAATCATTTAATAGTTTTCAGTTTTACAAAGGAGGGGCACAAATATCATGGCCCAAAAACAGTTAGAAACTAACTAACTAACTAACTACTAACTAACTACTACCTAACTAACTACTAACTAACTAACTAACTAACTAACTAACTAACTAACTAACTAACTAACTAACTAACTAACTAACTACTACTAACTAACTACTAACTAACTAACTAACTAACTAACTAACTAACTAACTAACTAACTAACGAACACTAACTAACTAACTAACTAACTAACTAACTACTAACTAACTAACTAACTACTAACTACTAACTAACTACTAACTAACTACTAACTAACTAACTAACTAACTAACTACTAACTAACTAACTAACTAACTAACTAACTAACTAACTAACTAACTAACTACTAACTAACTAACTAACTAACTAACTAACTAACTAACTAACTAACTAACTAACTAACTAACTACTAACTAACTAACTAACTAACTAACTAACTAACTAACTAACTAACTACTAACTACTAACTAACTAACTAACACTAACCTAAACTAACTAACTAACTAACTAACTAACTAACTAACTAACTACTAACTAACTAACTACTAACTAACTAACTAACTAACTAACTAACTAACTAACTAACTAACTAACTAACTAACTAACTAACTACTAACTAACTAACTAACTAACTAACTAACTAACTAACTAACTAACTAACTAACTAACTAACTAACTAACTAACTACTAACTAACTAACTAACCTAACTAACTAACTAACTAACTAACTAACTAACTAACTACTAACTAACTAACTAACTAACTAACTAACTAACTAACTAACTAACTAACTAACTAACTAACAACTAACTAACTAACTAACTAACTAACTAACTAACTAACTAACTAACTAACTAACTAACTAACTAACTAACTAACTAACTAACTAACTAACTAACTAACTACTAACTAACTAACTAACTACTAACTAACTAACTAACTAACTACTAACTAACTAACTAACTAACTAACTAACTAACTAACTAACTAACTACTAACTAACTAACTAACTAACTAACTAACTAACTAACTAACTAACTAACTAACTAACTAACTAACTAACTAACTAAACTAACTAACTAACTAAACTAACTAACTAACTAACTCACTACTACTAACTACGAACTAACTAACTAACTAACTAACTAACTAACTAACTACTACTACTACTAACTAACTAACTACTAACTAACTAACTAACTACTAACTAACTAACTAACTAACTACTAACTAACTAACTAACTAACTAACTAACTAACTAAACTAACTAACTAACTAACTAACTAACTACACTAATACTAACTAACTAACTAACTAACTAACTAACTACTAACTAACTAACTAACTAACTACTAACTAACTAACTACTAACTAACTACTAACTAACTAACTAACTAACTAACTAACTAACTAACTAACTAACTAACTAACTTGGAAAAACCAACATTTTAACAAAAAATTTACGGTTTTACTAAAAACGAAAATTTTACTAAAATTAAAATTTTACTAAAAATGAAAATTTTACTGAAAATGAAATTTTTTACTAAAAATTAAAATTTTTACGAAAAATTAAAATTTTTACTAAAAAATGCAAATTTTTACTAAAATGCAAATTTTTACTAAAAAAGAAAATTTTTACTAAAAATCAAAATTTTTACTATAATTGAAATTTTTACTATAATTGAAAATTTTTACTAAAATGTTAATTTTTACTAAAAATTTAAATTTTTTTACCCAAAATATAACTTTGTACACAAAATGTAATTTTCTACACAAAATATTAAACTTTAAAAAATATGCAAATTTTCACTCAAAGTGTAAATTTATTTATATAACGTAAACTCCACACAAAATGTAATATTTTACTGCAGACTTAAATTTTTAAACAAAATAAAAATGTATTCATGCACAATCAATATCATAAATGTGGATAGTTTTAGTCAAAAATCAATTTTTTCTTTGATCCCCTTGAAATGATTTTTTAACCTAACCAACAATTTCTGCCATTTTTTGGAGGACGTGTATACATTTAATACCTTTAGTTTTTAAAGCATACTCTATAGGGGCTGGGATTTACTCTTTAGTTTTGCTTGCACTGGCACAAACATGCAACGCTCACATGTTTGTACTTAAAAGCTTTGATGAACTCTATACAGTAAATAGTGGCAGTAAAAATTAAAATTATAATAATAACAATAAAAATAAAAATTATAATATAAATACAGTTGTTTATAAACAAAACAGTTATTAAGCAGCTTAAAGTTAAAATGTTAAATAAATATTTAAAAACACAAACAGTTAAACAGCTGACAGGCAACCAGCAGCAGCAGAAGTGTGTTAAAATAATAATAACTCTGTCACACTTCATTTTTAATGTAGAAAAAGGTTTATTGTTTTTTTTTTAATAAACAGCTTAAAATGTATTAAAATATAAAATTTATTATTTTTCAAATTATATAAAACACTTAATAATTTAATACTTAATTAAACTACTTATATGCCGCAGCAACAACAACTCAATAATTTTATGTCTTTTCATTTTATTTCCATTTAAAGGTTGTCCATGCCATGGATCGCACCACCAGGGTAACGGATTATCGTTTTATCAAAGAGGCTAATGGTGCTTTAACCATCACCAATGTTATGCTGGAGGATGATGGTAAATGGCAATGTGAAGCGGAAAATACCAGACATTATACGGAAAATGCACGTCCTGTAAAATTGGTGGTTTTAGGTGGGTACAACTGTCCAAACTACAAAAGTGCTTTAATAAAAACAAACAAAACGCAGCAACAAGGTCAATTTATTTGTGTTTAAACTTTTGCTTGAGTTCAAAAAAAAGATTTATTTCACAAAGAATTTTGTTTAAAACTACAACTTTTTTTCTAAAACTTGATTTTTATACAAGTTTTATAACTCTTTATTGCTTAAGCTAAATAGTAGTGTACCACCAACTAAAGCTAAGCATGACCAACACAACTTAAACACTTTACTTTAAGCAGCCAGAGAAGAAAGAGAGAAAAAGTGTAAAACCTTGTTCTGTGTGTGTGTGTGTCACAACAAATAACAAGAACAACTAAACTAAAACTGTGGAAAATAAAAAGAAAAGTTATTTTCATTAAAAAATGTTTTTATAACTTTTTTTATATGACACAATAAAATGAGTTTCGTTAACTAAAAGCAAAGCATACTATTTGGGGCACACGTAAAACTTGCTTGTTGTGTTATCATTGCTTGACTTTCTTCGTTTCAGTTGAACTTTAACAAGAGTTTTAAATTAAATTTTGTTTTTAAATTAATTGCATTTTATTATCTTTTATCTTGTTTTGCAGATCGTCCAAAACCTCCTTATTTACTAATAGATGGTAGACGTTTAGATGCGGGCAATATTTTTGTACCGGTGAAGGAAAATTCGGAACTGAATTTGGCTTGCATAAGTGAAGGTGGCAATCCTAAGCCTACTTTAACCTGGGAGGTTTTACTAAGTCCTGGTGTAGATCGTCATGCTCAAAAGGTTTCGGCAGAGGTTTTAGAGTTGGAGGAGATCAAGAGTGAAAAGGTTAGTGATTTTAAGCGAACATTTTTCAATGATGATTAAAGTAAAGCGAAATGGATGAAAGAGACTATAGTCTAGTCTATAGTCGAGTCTGTAGTCTTGTCTATAAGTTAGTCTACTGTCTTGTCCACAGTCTAGTCTATTTTCTATAGTAAAGTTTATAATCTAGTCAATACCCTACTCTATAGTCTAATCTATAGTGCAGCCTATATATAAAGCCAATATATAGTCTATAGTTTGGTCTATAGTCTGGTCTATAGTCTGGTCTATAGTCTGGTCTATAGTCTGGTCTATAGTCTGGTCTATAGTCTAGTCTATAGTCTAGTCTATAGTCTGGTCTATAGTCTAGTCTATAGTCTAGTCTATAGTCTAGTCTATAGTCTAGTCTATAGTCTAGTCTATAGTCTAGTCTATAGTCTAGTCTATAGTCTAGTCTATAGTCTAGTCTATAGTCTAGTCTATAGTCTAGTCTATAGTCTAGTCTATAGTCTAGTCTATAGTCTAGTCTATAGTCTAGTCTATAGTCTAGTCTATAGTCTAGTCTATAGTCTAGTCTATAGTCTAGTCTATAGTCTAGTCTATAGTCTAGTCTATAGTCTAGTCTATAGTCTAGTCTATAGTCTAGTCTATAGTCTAGTCTATAGTCTAGTCTATACTATAGACTTTGGCCATTAGACTCTATAGTCTAGTCTGTAGGTTAGCTTATATAATCTATTCGAGTCGATTTTGTGCCCTATAGTTTTCACTTTACATTCGGTGTAAAATCCAAAATCTTTTGCAAAAATATGGTTTTTATTTTTAACAATAAGAAATAAATATAGTTTTATAAATCTTAATTTAAACTTTTTTTATAAAATTTCTATTTTAAATTTCAATACTTCCCCTTTTTGAAAAATAACATATTTCAACATAATTGCTTTTAACAGAATTTTTGTATAACAATTTTTTACACATTTTTTTGGCAATATAATTTAAAACTAATAGCCCTCCTTTATCCGAAAATTACACATAAAATACATATTTTTTACAATTTTCAAATAATATCCTTCCTAGTTTTTTTCTCTAGCAAAGTAAAAATATAGTTTTTAGATGAAACATTTACATATTCTTCCCTTTTATATGGAAATTTATTGAACTAGATTTTTATTTTTGCATTAGAGCAGAAATATACAAAAAAATGTGTACATTTTTAACAAAATCTTCAAATTTGTAACAAATTTGGGTAATACAAAAAAAAAAAAAAAAATAGACAAAAAAGTTAAAAACAAGGAGAGGGGAGACAATAGAATAATATAACAATGGCCAAAGTATTATCACTCTAAGTTTAATATGCAGACCACCTCCTGTAAAACCACAAAACATAGCAACAAACGCAAACACTGACACATAGTCATCAACACCAGCAGCAGCACTAACACTAGTAAACCATTTAGAACAGCAACACTTTGATAAATACACACATGCATTAGTAAACAGCTACAATAACGGCATCCTCATCAATATAACAAAAGCATTATTCACTCCCTACTCCTCCCCCCTCTCTCTCTCTCTAGCACTCTTTCACTCACACATATAACCAAATTGTGTTCAGTTAGTCAATAACCGTTACATGGCAAAAATAATACTGCTGACCAAGTAAAATAATATTTAGTGTTTTATTTTTTATATCTTTATTCTTTTTTGTTGGTGAATTCTACTTAACAAAAAAAATTTTATAAAAATCAACTTTTAAAAAGAATCCCTCTATTGCTAGTGTAATAAAAACACTACAAAAAGCTAGAAAAAAAGAGAAAAAGGACTCACTCACACTCTACTCTTTGCATTATTGGTAACATACATCAACATCATACTCATGCATGCTCCAAATAAAATAAAAAAAACAACGACAACAACAATGTAAAAGAAAAATTGTATATTGAATGAATGAATGCATTGCATTGGACTGCATCTTGCATTATAATGGCTTAAAACATAAAATAAACGAGCATAATAATGGCTATTTGGGACAGACACTATATAATACTACATAGAAACTAAAACTACTCTCAATCACACACTCACACACATACACTCTTTCTTATGCTCATGCAATCATTTACAACATAACAATTTGGTATATGTGTAAGTATGTATGTGTTTGCAAGCCACGCTTGAATGGCTATAAATGTTGCCAGCTAAAAGCAAAACGAAGAATTTACAAAAAGAAATAAAATAAAATACATATAAGAGAGTATTTATTTGCATATTAAGAATTTAAGAATTTATGAAATATTTAATAATATTGATTATTTATAGCATACTTTAGGGCAGGCTCTAGTTGTCATTTGTGATTAAGAAACTAAACTATCTAAAGTAAAGCAGTCCAAAGACCAATGTATAATGTATAGACTAGACTATAGACTAGACTATAGATTAGACTACAGACTAGACTATAGATTAGGCTATAGACTAGACTATAGACTAGACTATAGACTAGACTATAGACTAGACTATAGACTAGACTATAGACTAGACTATAGACTAGACTATAGACTAGACTATAGGCTAGACTATAGACTAGACTATAGACTAGACTATAGACTAGACTATAGACTAGACTATAGACTAGACTATAGACTAGACTATAGACTAGACTATAGACTAGACTATAGACTAGACTATAGACTAGACTATAGACTAGACTATAGACTAGACTATAGACTAGACTATAGACTAGACTATAGACTAGACTATAGACTAGACTATAGACTAGACTATAGACTAGACTATAGACTAGACTATAGACTAGACTATAGACTAGACTATAGACTAGACTATAGACTAGACTATAAACTAGACTATAGACTAGACTATAGACGTAACTAGACTAGAGACTAAGCTATAGGCTTTGATATAGACTAGACCATAGACTAGATTATAGACTAGATTTTAGACGAGACTATAGACTAAACCATAGATTAGACTATTGACTAGACTATAGACTAGACTAAGCTATAGACTATAGACTGGACTAGACTATAGAATAAACTATAGATTAGACTGGGCTATAGACTTGACGGCAGACTTGGCCACAGACTATAATATTGACTATCGACTAGACTACGATTTTCTCCAATTATCTTTTTATTTTTCATTTCACTATCTGTCTGTCACTCACTTGACTATTTGTATTGCTAACAGCCTGTTCCTGATACTAGTTTATCTCTGCAAATATACATAAATGTAAATTGTTTTCATATTTTCCATTTTCCTCATATTAAACCTTAACTTACGCATTTAATCGCATGTATTTTTTCCAAATGTCCTTCCACATACAAATGCTATTTAACTACTTTACATATTACAAATATAACTGCATATATGTAGTGTTTGTGTGTTTTTTCCCAAAGAAATTCTTGTAATTTACATTCTATATTGGCTTTACATAAATGCCAACACTTTTTTCCTGTTTTTTTCCTGCATACTCGCTTACAAACAATATTTTTAAATTCAACCAACTTACAACTCTTATACTCATGCTTACAAAATTAAATGCATAAAAACAGGCATATGTGTAACTATGAAACAAATTTTAAAAATGTGCATATAAACTGCCACAAAACTCTTCATATACATATAGACATATGCAAACAATTTGCTGCTGCATCCACTGCTGCTATGAGTCTACAAAAACAACTAGAAGTTCTGCCAAAAATACTACTACTCATTGTAAAAGTACCACATATTTCATGTAAAGCGTTGGTATGCAAATTGTTAACATTGTATAAATTCAAAAGAGAAACCCACATAGTAACAACAAAAACAACACATAAGCAGACAGACTTATACACAATATATAGTAAACAAACGTATAAGCAACAATTGCAACAACTACATGCAGTTGAAATAGCGGCAATAACAGCAACAAAACCTGTTAAACTAAAATGCTAAAAATTTCTACCAAAGTCTGTGTGTGTGAGTGGGTGGTAGAGACTATGAGTGAGAGAGAGTCTGCTGGGTTGTTTCAATTAAAGTATATGTGGTAATTGTAAATGTGTATGCAGGTTCATTTTGTATTGGTGGCAGTTGAAACAAAAATAATTCCTTTCCACAAAACTCTATACAAAAATTCTTCTACTCCAAAAAAAAAAAGATGCAAAACAGTTTAACAAAGTTTTTCCTTTTAATCCAGCCTTTCGCTTACTTTAAACTCAACACAGCAAAAAAATCCATAAAAATAACAAATATTTAATAATATAAGAAAAAAATCCATAATAATTTTTTTATTCACATTTTCTGTCTGTTCATTACAGGATAAAAATTCATATAAAATTAATAGTGGCGCCAAAAGTGAAGCACGTCTGCCAGCTGTATATCGGGCACATCATAATGCACGCATCTTATGCGTTATGGAGCATCCCACATTAAAAATACGTCAGAATGCATCATTGCTACTGGATGTTCAATGTAAGTAATACGAACTCCAATACCATTACTACGATTACTATTAAACCACCTTTATCTACTCAAGATACCCGTTAGTTCGGGTAGATTTTAGACCAGACTATAGAAGAGACTATATACTATAGAATGAACTGTAGACTAGACTACATGCGAGACTAGTATGGTCTATATTCTGGTATATAATTAAGTCCATATTAAGGAGTAGACTATACTAAAGAACATATTATACTAAAAAACATATTAAAAGTAGTTTAACATTGCGCAAAATACTTTCTGGTAGAGATACTTAGAAACCGCTGCCAATATGCAGGGTTATAAATTTATAAAACAGATAAACCCCTGTAAAGAGCGAAATGAGTCTGACTTTTCAGTATTATATTTTTTATATATTTCATAAAGTACTTGAATATTGAAAATTGTTTAATGGATATTGAACGGTATTTTTTTTATATACATACATAACTATAACTACATAAAAATAGCGATAATAAATAAAAGTGCCTGCAAATAAAAACAACTACAACATCATCATAATAATACTTAACTTCAAGGATAAAAGTACACATACACATGTGTAAAACTAAAATAAAAAAACCACTCTACTATATTCAGCATGGATTTCAAAAAGATTCTTGTTATTCAAACTTGAACTATTGACAATGAGAAAACAAAAATAGCTTGAAAATAAAAATCAACAAATAAACTCACTGGCGTCTATTTAAACAAATAGGGATTGCAATTAATTTGAGTTTTTATTGAATATTGATTTGTAGTGTATTGAAAAATTAAAAAAAATATATTGCTATGCCATTGAAAAGTTATTAATTAAAAGGGAACTAAGTTGGAACCTTATGAAAAAAAAAACGATTCAAAGAGAAGTACTTCGATTTAAGGAACAAATGATTTAAAACGTATATACTGAACTAGAACTGAACTAGAACTGAACTAGAACTGAACTAGAACTGAACTAGAACTGAACTAGAACTGAACTAGAACTGAACTAGAACTGAACTAGAACTGAACTAGAACTGAACTAGAACTGAACTAGAACTGAACTAGAACTGAACTAGAACTGAACTAGAACTGAACTAGAACTGAACTAGAACTGAACTAGAACTGAACTAGAACTGAACTAGAACTGAACTAGAACTGAACTAGAACTGAACTAGAACTGAACTAGAACTGAACTAGAACTGAACTAGAACTGAACTAGAACTGAACTAGAACTGAACTAGAACTGAACTAGAACTGAACTAGAACTGAACTAGAACTGAACTAGAACTGAACTAGAACTGAACTAGAACTGAACTAGAACTGAAATAAACTGAACTAGAACTGAACTAGAACTGAACTAGAACTGAACTAGAACTGAACTAGAACTGAACTAGAACTGAACTAGAACTGAACTAGAACTGAACTGGAACTGAACTAGAACTGAACTAGAACTGAACTAGAACTGAACTAGAACTGAACTAGAACTGAACTAGAACTGAACTAGAACTGAACTAGAACTGAACTAGAACTGAACTAGAACTGAACTAGAACTGAACTAGAACTGAACTAGAACTGAACTAGAACTGAACTAGAACTGAACTAGAACTGAACTAGAACTGAACTAGAACTGAACTAGAACTGAACTAGAACTGAACTAGAACTGAACTAGAACTGAACTAGAACTGAACTAGAACTGAACTAGAACTGAACTAGAACTGAACTAGAACTGAACTAGAACTGAACTAACTACTGAACTAGAACTGAACTAGAACTGAACTAGAACTGAACTAGAACTGAACTAGAACTGAACTAGAACTGAACTAGAACTGAACTAGAACTGAACTAGAACTGAACTAGAACTGAACTAGAACTGAACTAGAACTGAACTAAACTAGAACTGAACTAGAACTGAACTAGAACTGAACTAGAACTGAACTAGAACTGAACTAGAACTGAACTAGAACTGAACTAGAACTGAACTAGAACTGAACTGAACTAGAACTGAACTAGAACTGAACTAGAACTGAACTAGAACTGAACTAGAACTGAACTAGAACTGAACTAGAACTGAACTAGAACTGAACTAGAACTGAACTAGAACTGAACTAGAACTGAACTAGAACTGAACTAGAACTGAACTAGAACTGAACTAGAACTGAACTAGAACTGAACTAGAACTCAACTTGAACTGAACTAGAACTGAACTAGAACTGAACTAGAACTGAACTAGAACTTAACTAGAACTGAACTAGAACTGAACTAGAACTGAACTAGAACTGAACTAGAACTGAACTAGAACTGAACTAGAACTGAACTAGAACTGAACTAGAACTGAACTAGAACTGAACTAGAACTGAACTAGAACTGAACTAGAACTGAACTAGAACTGAACTAGAACTGAACTAGAACTGAACTAGAACTGAACTAGAACTGAACTAGAACTGAACTAGAACTGAACTAGAACTGAACTAGAACTGAACTAGAACTGAACTAGAACTGAACTAGAACTGAACTAGAACTGAACTAGAACTGAACTAGAACTGAACTAGAACTGAACTAGAACTGAACTAGAACTGAACTAGAACTGAACTAGAACTGAACTAGAACTGAACTAGAACTGAACTAGAACCGAATTAGAACCGAACTAGAACTGAGCTAAAACTAAACTTGAGCTGAACAGAAACTGAACTAGATCTGAACTAGAACCAAACTAGAACTGAACTATAACTAAACTAGAGCTGAACAGAAACTGAACTAAAACCGAACTAGAACTGAACTAAAACTAAACTAGAGCTGAACAAAAACTGAGCTGGAACTGTTCTCATTCTTGCTTTGTTTCCTTAGACTTTCCGTCTAATATTGCTCTCACTCAAGTCCCCTTTAATTATTTTAAAGAGACAACCAAAATTAAAACATTTTTAAAACTTTTTGACATCCATTTGCGTTTAAAAATTAAGAAGAAATTTCCCTAGATTTTTTTTAATTTTTAATAATTTTTATATTCTTAGCGGTTTTAAAGAAGAAATAAAAAATAACTTTAAATTGCCACCAAAGAAAAAAAAAGAAAAGCTGGAGACAGCTGCTCAAGATTCCCATGTAGCTTTTGTACACTTCATAAAACACAAAGTCAAGAGTCGTTAAAGTGTCATTAGCCAAACATACAGTCAGGCTGACTAGCGGTACAGGAGTAGAAGTTGGGGGAGGCAAACAAACTCTAAACTAGGAAACAAACAGTCATAAAAAATTAATGTTAAAAATAAAGTACCACAGTTTTCATTATTTTGTTACTCAAGTAAGCGGTAGTTTGTTTTCAATTTTAAAAAGATTTTTTTGTTTATAGTTTATTTTTAAAAGATTTTTCTTTAAATGCCACCAAAGTTGTCTAACAAGAATCTCCTTGCTAAGGCTTGTCAATTGCCATAAACCTCAAAAAAATGTTGCAAAATGCATTTAGTAGAAAACGGCAGCTCATTGAAAGAGACAAACAACAAAAGATATAATACAATGAATGAACAATAACAAAACAACTAGAATTAAATTAAAAAGAAATCATTTTAAAGTCGATTGCTGCGGATGCTGGAGATGATGATGACGACGACGATGTTGAAGAAGCTGCTGATAAGAATTACTTTACTGATAAACTTAAGCCAATTAAATGGTCTGAAAGTAAATTACAAATGAAAAGGAACGAAAAAATTGTTTTGCATTTTTTAAAGTATTTTTTTATATTTGTAATTTTTTTTTAGTATTTTTTGTCTAAAAAAACAAGGATAATGAGGAAAATTATTGTTTGGATAAATGGTGGGGAAGTAAATGTTTGTATTTGATCAAATAAAAAAAACTTAACAAAATGGCTCTTTGGCTTTTTTGAGAATTCAATTTTAAAAGAACTGTGAATTGCTTTACAAAATTAAACATTATTTTTTTCGAAATTTATTTCTATCAAATAAATTTCATGCATATTGATTTAACAACATATTTTAGCATCAATTTCAAATAAATAATAAATTTACTAAATTTTTAATAATATTTTTATATGAGTATTTACATTTTTAAACATAAATATTACATTAAATTGAATTTATTAAATTTTTTGATTTCCTAATATTCAAAATACTATAATATTTTTACAATTGCACTTTTATTTATTTACTCTTGTAAAATATATTTATTAAAAATTTGTATAGAAATTGGCATTAATCCATGAAAAATTCATATAAAAAATCAATGAAAATCTCAATTAAGTACTAGTAAATCCATGCTAATTGGCAACACTCAATATTTGTTATTCACATCTATGTGTATATGTATAAGTATCTAAATACATATACCATTAAATCAATTCATAAAAATTAGGCTGGTTTCACAAACAAATTAGATCATTCCAGATCAGTAATCAGTTTAAATTTTTTAAAAGCTTTTCTGGTACCACCCTAATATTTGCCAAAGTTTATTTAGTTTGTTTTGTTAGTGAGTTGGTGAGTAAAAACGTGTGTGTATGTCCGTCTACATACATACATACATACATACATATGTATATATATTACATATATACAAACACCAACAAAAATACTAAACCACAATCCAATTACAACAACAACAGCAGCATCATCATAAAATCCCTATGAGATTTTGTTTTGGTATTTCTATTAATACTCCAACAGTCAAGCTAATAATTCCATAACGGTTTATTTACATATATAAAAAAAAACTAAAAATAAAGAAACGAAAATAATAAGTCTGGACCATAGCACATGTACCAACAATTAAGACTCTAATAGCTGAAATTGGAAAAAAGGTTCGCTTTGAAAGGCTATTTAGTGAAAAAGTTCTAGTTCAGTTCTAGTCCAGTTCTAGTTCAGTTTTAGTTCAGTTCTAGTTCAGTTCTAGTTCAGTTCTAGTCAGTTCTAGTTCAGTTCTAGTTCTAGTTCAGTTCTAGTTCAGTTCTAGTTCAGTTCTAGTTCAGTCTAGTTCAGTTCTAGTTCAAGTTCTAGTTCAGTTCTAGTTCAGTTCTAGTTCAGTTCTAGTTCAGTTCTAGTTCAGTTCTAGTTCAGTTCTAGTTCATTCTAGTTCAGTTCTAGTTCAGTTCTAGTTCAGTTCTAGTTCAGTTCTAGTTCAGTTCTAGTGTTCAGTTCTAGTTCAGTTCTAGTTCAGTTCTAGTTCAGTTCTAGTTCAGTTCTTAGTTCCTAGTATTAGTTCAGTTCTAGTTCAGTTCTAGTTCATTCTAGTTCAGTTCTAGTAGTTCTAGTCAGTTCTAGTTCAGTTCTAGTTCAGTCCTAGGTTCAGTTCTAGTTCAGTTCTAGTTCAGTTCTAGTTCAGTTCTCTAGTTCAGTTCTAGTTCAGTTCCTAGTTCAGTTCTAGTTCAGTTCTGTCAGTTCTAGTTCAGTTCTAGTTCAGTTCTAGTTCAGTTCTAGTTCAGTTTCTAGTTCAGTTCTAGTTCAGTCTAGTTCAGTCTAGTTCAGTTCAGTTCTAGTTCAGTTCTAGTTCAGTTCTAGTTCAGTTTCTAGTTCAGTTCTAGTTCAGTATAGTTCAGTTCTAGTTCAGTTCTAGTTCAGTTCTAGTTCAGTTATCTAGTTCTAGTTCGTTAGTTCAGTTCTAGTTCAGTTCTAGTTCAGTTCTAGTTCAGTCTAGTTCAGATCTAGTTCAGTTCTAGTTCAGTTCTAGTTCAGTTCTAGTTCAGTTCTAGTTCAGTTCTAGTTCAGTTCTAGTTCAGTTCTAGTTCAGTTCTAGTTCAGTTCTAGTTCAGTTCTAGTTCAGTTCTAGTTTCAGTTCTAGTTCAGTTCTAGTTCAGTTCTAGTTCAGTTCTAGTTCAGTTCTAGTTCAGTTCTAGTTCAGTTCTAGTTCAGTTCTAGTTCAGTTCTAGTTCAGTTCTAGTTCAGTTCTAGTTCAGTTCTAGTTCAGTTCTAGTTCAGTTCTCAGTTCTAGGTCAGTTCTAGTTCAGTTCTAGTTCAGTCCTAGTTCAGTTCTAGTTCAGTTCTAGTTCAGTTCTAGTTCTAATAAAGTTCAGTTCTGGAACACTTCAAAATATGAACTTCTAATATAGATTACATTTTCTGCAGAAAAACCTCAATTACAATGACTTTGCCTAAAATTATGCTTTACTCATCATACTTTCCAATTATTTTCTATACAACCACATGTGAGAGACAAATTATGATAAACCATCATAGATTTATTGATGATTATGAATTCTATATACATATTTTTTATTATTATTAATACTTGTACTAAGATTTATAAATAAAACAAATTGAAATAAATTGAGAACAATACAAAAAGTAAATAAAAAATATTTTTTTGTTGATAAAACAAAAATTAAAATGGTCTCGCTCGTATGTAAGAATTTATGTAGAAATTTTTAGTAAAACTGATGTTGTAACATTTTTTCTAGTCGTTGTTGTTGTTTTAGGTATTTTGTTGATGTTGTTGTTGTTGCTGACTCTGATGAATCAAATACAAATTACAGACAGTTGATAGACAGCAGTTTTTGTGTATTGAACAAATGAAACAGTAGACACAGTCTATAAGGACGGACAGACAAACAAACGGATATACAAATGAATGGACAGATAGACAGACCGTTGGACAGACAAACATATAGAAATTGGTTTTTAACAAATGAATTGAATGAATACACAATATTTCTATGACTCCAGCAATGGAGAGTACATTTACATGTGTGGAGAGGGGGATACACACGGTATTATACTAAATACTTATCATGATGTTAGTAGGGGTTTCTGGGGGTCCTTTTTTCTTTTTTATTATTTTACAAATAAATCATACTTGTATATATTATTCAATTGAGATTTTAAATAAAAAATATTTTTCTATATGAATATGTATGTATAAGAAATGTAAGAGTGTCTGTATGTTGGTTTAAAACACAGTTTCATTTATATAAATAGTAAAAATAAATTTGAAAAAACAACCCATGAAACTTTAATAAATCATAGAAAATCCTATAGAAAATCTGTTAGGTTGTGGTTTTTACACATACATGATCTCCCTCTACCACAAAAAAAATACAAACACTAGACAGTATTCATTTTGTAAAAAAAAAAATAATATTGAAATATTGAAAAATGTATTTAAATAAAATTGTACTATTTCATTGATTAGTTTTACATTTATTTAAGTGTATTTTTTATATACATATTTTTTATTTTATAGCAAAATTTTGTGATTAAAATTTATTATTTTTTTATTTTTACAAATCAAATAATTGTTTTTTTTTATTTTCTTTTTATTTTAAATTGATGTATTTTTATTTACTTGAAGAGTTTTTTTCAGAAATTTTTAGGTTTATAAAAATGCTTGATATTTAATGAATTTTTATAAATGTTTGTATTTTCTATTTTACTTGTAGATACTCCTTCATTTGCCATTTCACGTACGCCAGGCTTTGGTTATCCTTTGCGTGAAGGCATCGAGGTTTCATTAAAATGTGACGTGGATTCAAACCCGCCCAGTACGCCACGTTGGCAGAAGGATGATGGTGAACCACCGGTAAGTAAATCCAGGGCAGAACTAGAACAGAATTAGAACAGAACTAGAACAGAGCTAGAACAGAACTAGAACTAAAGCAGAACTAGAACAGAGCTAGAACAGAACTATAACAGAACTAGAACAGAAACTATAACAGAACTAGAACAGAACTAGAACAGAACTAGAACAGAACTAGAACAGAACTAGAACAGAACTAGAACAGAACTAGAACAGAACTAGAACAGAACTGGAACAGAACTAGAACAGAACTGGAACTGAACTAGAACAGAACTAGAACAAAACTAGAACTAGAACAGAACTAGAACAGAACTGGAACAGAACTAGAACAGAACTAGAACTGAACTAGAACAGAACTAGAACAAACTAGAACTAGAACAGAACTAGAACTAGAACAGAACTAGAACAGAACTAGAACAGAACTAGAACAGAACTAGAACAGAACTAGAACAGAACTAGAACAGAACTAGAACAGAACTAGAACAGAACTAGAACAGAACTAGAACAGAACTAGAACAGAACTAGAACAGAACTAACAGAACTAGAACAGAACTAGAACAGAACTAGAACAGAACTAGAACAGAACTAGAACAGAACTAGAACAGAACTAGAACAGAACTAGAACAGAACTAGAACAGAACTAGAACAGAACTAGAACAGAACTAGAACTAGAACAGAACTAGAACAGAACTAGAACAGAACTAGAACAGAACTAGAACAGAACTAGAACAGAACTAGAACAGAAACTAGAACAGAACTAGAACAGACTAGAACAGAACTAGAACAGAACTAGAACAGAACTAGAACAGAACTAGAACAGAACTAGAACAGAACTAGAACAGAACTAGAACAGAACTAGAACAGAACTAGAACAGAACTAGAACAGTACTAGAACAGAACTAGAACAGAACTAACCAGAACTAGAACAGAACTAGAACAGAACTAGAACAGAACTAGAACAGAACTAGAACAGAACTAGAACAGAACTAGAACAGAACTAGAAACAGAACTAGAACAGAACTAGGAACAGAACTAGAACAGAACTAGAACAGAACTAGAACAGAAACTAGAACAGAACTAGAACAGAACTAGAACAGAACTAGAACAGAACTAGAACAGACTAGAACTAGAACAGAACTAGAACAGAACTAGAACAGAACTAGAACAGAACTAGAACAGAACTAGAACAGAACTAGAACAGAACTAGAACAGAACTAGAACAGAACTAGAACAGAACTAGAACAGAACTAGAACAGAACTAGAACAGAACTAGAACAGAACTAGAACAGAACTAGAACAGAACTAGAACAGAACTAGAACAGAACTCGAACAGAACTAGAACAGAACTAGACAGAACTAGAACAGAACTAGAACAGAACTAGAACAGAACTAGAACAGAACTAGAACAGAACTAGAACAGAACTAGAACAGAACTAGAACAGAACTAGAACAGAACTAGAACAGAACTAGAACAGAACTAGAAACAGAACTAGAACAGAACTAGAACAGAACTAGAACAGAACTAGAACAGAACTAGAACAGAACTAGAACAGAACTAGAACAGAACTAGAACAGAACTAGAACAGAACTAGAACAGAAACTAGAACAGAACTAGAACAGAACTAGAACAGAACTAGAACGAACTAGAACAGAACTAGAACAGAACTAGAACAGAACTAGAACAGAACTAGAACAGAACTAGAACAGAACTAGAACAGAACTAGAACAGAACTAGAAACAGAACTAGAACAGAACTAGAACAGAACTAGAACAGAACTAGAACAGAACTAGAACAGAACTAGAACAGAACTAGAACAGAACTAGAACAGAACTAGAACAGAACTAGAACAGAACTAGAACAGAACTAGAACAGAACTAGAAACAGAACTAGAACAGAACTAGACAGAACTAGAACAGAACTAGAACAGAACTAGAACAGAACTAGAACAGAACTAGAACAGAACTAGAACAGAACTAGAACAGAACTAGACAGAACTAGAACAGAACTAGAAACAGAACTAGAACAGAACTAGAACAGAACTAGAAACAGAACTAGAAACAGAAATAAGCTTAGAACAGAACTAGAACAGAACTAGAACATAGCTAGAACAGAACTAGAACAAAACTGCTAGAACTAAATTACTGTAAAATTTTACTTTTTGTATTTTTTTAACTTTAATAATTGAATTAAATAAATTTTAAAACAATTTTCAATTTATGTCCCAAATTTATTGTTATTTATCTTTAATAAGTTATATTTCACACTTCACTGCTTTAATAAAAACAATTTTTTATCCCTTCTCTACACTCCCAAATAAAGAATAAAATAACATTAAAGAATTATCGAAATTATTTTAAATCATGTGAACACATAATTTCCATACTTTGCAGGTTCCACAAACTGGTGATGGTTTTCTCAATTTTACCTCAATACGGCGCGAACATTCCGGCTGGTATAAATGTACATCGCGTCATTTAAATTTTCAATATTCATCGATTGGTTACTATCTAAGTGTAAGATGTAAGTATGAACAACAAAAAAGCAAAAAACAATTTAAAAATAAAAAATCATGATTTAAAACCCAAAAGTTATCAATATTTCATAACAAATGACTGCACAAATGCGTAAAATTACCTTTAGATGAATAAAGCCAGATCCCTGTTTGTAAAGCACACACAAAAGGACATACTACATATGTATATGTATGTGTCTATAAACTCTCTACATATACATACACATATAATTATATCTAGTGTGATATTTTATACAGAGACAACATTTTTTATTGAAGCATAAAAAACCACTGTGTGTGTTTTTTAGTACAAGGACCTGAAGAAAAAAATTATGGTGAAAAATGATTTTTTCCCCTTACCCAATGATTTTTATATTATTGCCTGACTATCAGCAACACATTGACAAAAAAACACCCACATTGTCAAACACAAGTACTAACCCTCTGAAATTTATGTAAAAAAAACTTTAAATAAAATATACATGCAATGAAGGAGCAGGGAGTCAAAACAGGCAGGTCATGAAATATGAAATCGAAAATTATAAAAAAAAAACAAAAATTTCAACAACGAAGGGTGTTTTTTATAGGCACAACACATGTCAAATGACAAAAAATATGTTCTTATATAAATTTTGGCAAACAAATATGAAAAAAAAAAACCCAAACAGAATCCAACAAGCACGACAACTCTCAAGTGTAAACATTCTTGGGGTGTTGACAATTTGTATATATGCAAAATTCAATACTGTCTATAGCAAGCACATGTACATATATCGATGGGAGTAGAGGTAGAGGGAGTTATGAAACCCTCCAAAGTTTTTTTCAGTTTTTGCAAGTTCATGTGTATATATTTTAACTCGATATTGGGTGTGAGTAGACTAACTGCTTTTCAAATGTGATTGTTAAAAAATATCTAGTATCGTCTGTTATGAATATAAAATTGTCTATGTATGTGGGTGTATGTGTATTAATATTTATATATAATCACTTATATACACATTCAAACACACTATGTCATACGTAGAAGAAACACTTGTTTATGGTTGTTGTCGTAAATATTTGCATTTAACACCAATATATTCATTTTTTATTTTGCAGACATATTTGTTTTTTTTTTTTTTTTTTTTTTGTATTATTTTTGCAAGGGAAAGTTAAGAATAATTTAAGAAAAAGCTGGAATCTAAAATGCTTAAGTTATTGCAAAGTTCTCCTAAAAATATGCCACATGATTTAATATATAGAACAGAACTAGACCAGAAGTAAAAAAGAACTAGAACAGAACTAGAACAGAACTAGAACAGAACTAAAACAGAACTAGAACAGAACTAGAACAGAACTACAACAGAACTACAACAGAACTACAACAGAACTAGAACAGAACTGAACAGAACTAGAACAGAACTAGAACAGAAACTAGAACAGAACTAGAACAGAACTCGAACAGAACTAGAACAGAACTAGAACAGAACAGAACTAGAAACAGAACTAGAACAGAATAGAACAGAACTAGAACAGAACTAGAACAGAACTAGAACAGAACTAGAACAGAACTAGAACAGAACTAGAACAGAACTAGAACAGAACTAGACAGAACTAGAACAGAACTAGAACAGAACTAGAACAGAAACTAGAACAGAACTAGACCTGAACAGAACTAGAACAGAACTAGAACAGAACTAGAACAGAACTAGAACAGAACTAGAACAGAACTACAACAGAACTACAACAGAACTAGAACAGAACAGAACTAGAACAGAACTAGAACAGAACTAGAACAGAACTAGAACAGAACTAGAACAGAACTCGAACAGAACTAGAACAGAACTAGAACAGAACTAGAACAGAACTAGAACAGAACTAGAACAGAACTAGAACAGAACTAGAACAGAACTAGAACAGAACTAGAACAGAACTAGAACAGAACTAGAACTGAACTAGAACTGAACTAGAACTGAACTAGAACTGAACTAGAACTGAACTAGAACTGAACTAGAACTGAACTAGAACTGAACTAGAACTGAACTAGAACTGAACTAGAACTGAACTAGAACTGAACTAGAACTGAACTAGAACTGAACTAGAACTGAACTAGAACTGAACTAGAACTGAACTAGAACTGAACTAGAAACTGAACTAGAACTGAACTAGAACTGAACTAGAACTGAACTAGAACTGAACTAGAACTGAACTAGAACTGAACTAGAACTGAACTAGAACTGACTAACTGAACTAGAACTGAACTAGAACTGAACTAGAACTGAACTAGAACTGAACTAGAACTGAACTAGAAACTGAACTAGAACTGAACTAGAACTGAACTAGAACTGAACTAGAACTGAACTAGAACTGAACTAGATTGTAATATTAATCTTAAATATTTAAGAATTATTTTCCCAAACCCCACTTAATTTCGCATTAATTTTTGCAAACATTTCTCTGTAAAACTTCAGCAAATTAAAAGGCCAGCAAAAAATACGTATGCAAGCAAAAAAATCTATATCACGTAATTTAATTCTTCTAGGTAATTTTAACATCTTTTTGGTATGTGCTACGTGCCCAATTAACGTCAAGTTTTATTTTCGTTTTATTATAACTAATGAAAAACAACAAGTTTTTCTTTCACTACATTCCTACTAAATATAATCAATTGTATGGCAAAGTTAAAAACTGCTACAGAGAGAGGGGTGGGCAGGGTAGGTTAGAAGAGCCTAAATTAGTAACTAAAACAAATCATCAATACAACAGCAACACAAAAAAACATAAAACTAATAGAGCAAACAAATAAACAACTAAAATGAAATACAACTTAAGAAGCACAACAACACCCTTAACATATGCAACAACTTATTACAAGTAAAAACGGAAATAAACTTCTTACACGAAGTTGTAATTATGGGGCTCAACAAAAAATAATACAACAACATATAAACTTTAGCTTACTTCACAAACTAAGGGTGTGTTGTACATAAAACTTTTTAAAGAAATATTTAATCAATATTATGATACAAAAAAGAAAGAAATATTTATTACTTTGTTCAATAAATTGGAAAATTTGCTATAATTGCTTTCTAAATTGTTTAAGAGCTCATCTCTGCTCTAACGGATGGAAATTTTATCAGACTTATTCTTTTTTTAAGATTTTTTTTTTCTCAAGCTGCTTGTCTATGTTGTCAATAATGTCTGTTATTATTAAGTTATTAAAAAATATTTATTGTTATTACTTTACGTATGCTGCTAAACAAGAGATTTGAAATTTATTTTGTTTTTTTTTTTGAAAAAATTCTTTTTGATTTTTTTTTGGAAATTGGGAAATTTGATACCTTTAAGTTTGTTTGTTTTCATTTGAAAAATTTTAAGTAGACATTGATTGTCTATTATATTGTTAGACAAGTTTTGTTGTAAAATCCCTTATGTTTTTGTAGTTGTTGTAGTCTGTCAATAAATTTAATCAGGATTGTTATTTTGTTATATTATGTGTTGGTTTTTTTTTTTATTTTCTTCTTATATTTTTTGTTTTACAAATATTTACAAATTGTTTTTACTTTCACTTACGAGTCATGAATTCTATAAAAGAATTCCAAAAAATAGGGGTGTTTATTAGAGTGAGACAGACACAAATGTATAGTCGTTTGTCTGTCAAAGTATGTGCTTAATATTTAATATTAACCCATTGGGAATTCAGAATAGTGAAGTCTAAAGAGTTGTCTATAGTCTAGTCTATTTATCTATTGTTTAGACTCTAGTGCAGGATCTGTTCAAGTTCTGTTCAAGTTCTGTTCTAGTTCTGTTCTAGTTCTGTTCTAGTTCTGTTCTAGTTCTGTTCTAGTTCTGTTCTAGTTCTGTTCTAGTTCTGTTCTAGTTCTGTTCTAGTTCTGTTCTAGTTCTGTTCTAGTTCTGTTCTAGTTCTGTTCTAGTTCTAGTTCTGTCTAGTTCTGTTCTAGTTCTGTTCTAGTTCTGTTCTAGTTCTGTTCTATTCTGTTCTAGTTCTGTTCTAGTTCTGTTCTAGTTCTGTTCTAGTTCTGTTCTAGTTCTGTTTCTAGTTCTGTTCTAGTTCTGTTCTAGTTCTGTTCTAGTTCTGTTCTAGTTCTGTTCTAGTTCTGTTCTAGTTCTGTTCTAGTTCTGTTCTAGTTCTGTTCTAGTCTTCTGTTCTAGTTCTGTTCTAGTTCTGTTCTAGTTCTGTTCTAGTTCTGTTCTAGTTCTGTTCTAGTTCTGTTCTAGTTCTGTTCTAGTTCTGTTCGTAGTTCTGTTCTAGTTGCTGTTCTAGTTCTGTTCTAGTTCTGTTCTAGTTCTGTTCTAGTTCTGTTCTAGTTCTCTGTTCTAGTTCTGTTCTAGTTCTGTTCTAGTTCTGTTCTAGTTCTGTTCTAGTTCTGTTCTAGTTCTGTTCTAGTTTCTGTTCTAGTTCTGTTCTAGTTCTGTTCTAGTTCTGTTCTAGTTCTGTTCTAGTTCGTTCTAGTTCTGTTCTAGTTCTGTTCTAGTTCTGTTCTAGTTCTAGTTCTGTCTAGTTCTGTTCTAGTTCTGTTCTAGTTTCTGTTCTAGTTCTGTTCTAGTTCTGTTCTAGTTCTGTTCTAGTTCTGTTCTAGTTCTGTTCTAGTTCTGTTCTAGTTCTGTTCTAGTTCTGTTCAAGTTCTGTTCTAGTTCTGTTCTAGTTCTGTTCTAGTTCTGTTCTAGTTCTGTTCTAGTTCTGTTCTAGTTCTGTTCTAGTTATGTTCTAGTTCTGTTCTAGTTCTGTTCTAGTTCTGTTCTAGTTATGTTCTAGTTCTATTCTAGTTTTGTTCTAGTTCTGTTCTGTTGAAGTTCGTGTTATGTCCATATTGCTTATACTTTTCGACTGCTTCAAAAATGTATTGTTTGCTTTTTATGGGTTAATATTAAAAATCATCAACAATCATTATTTTCTATTTAACTTTCTTCGTTTAATGTCTACACTTGGCTTCTCTGCCTATTTGTTTATGCAATTGTTTTTCTTTCTAAATACTTACAAAATACATTTTTTTCTCCTTTATACTTT